AAAAAAAACAATCTCTCTAAATAACGTAACATACTTGATAAGAAAATAGCACTATTATTATTAGGAGGATCTTTCGTAAAACTTAATGCATGCCATGGATCAATAGCACCATTAACAAATAAAACTCTTGAACCGGAAAAACCTTCTGCACCATAAAATGCATTAGTAAAATTAATACCTCGTTCAAGAAGATTATCATCAAATTTAGGTCCAAATATATCCGCACATTGTTGAATAAAAAATCTAAATATAATAAAATAACAACAAAAAAAAAACAAAATAATGGCATGAATAAATAATTTTTGTTCTATATGAAAAATTTTCCTTACGAAACTGGAAAATTATTTCCAAATGGTTGTTGAGAATCATCTGATGATTGAAAAAAACCAAATTCAACACAAGTTTGATATGTCCATTGACGACCACCTTCAGATGCTGATGCATTCCATGAAGTATTTCGTAATTGATTTATCATACTCATATAACCAGCATCAAGACATTTTTGATCATATGCCGTTAATAACATATCATTAACATTGACCATACGCTGAAGAATATCTGGTTGACTTGTATCAAGCATTGTTTTACATAAAACATCAATTGTTATATTTGTTGCACGAGCACCCTAATTTATAAAAACAAAAAAAAATAAAAAATATTAAATTATTTTCTATAAAAATAATTTTCAATAAAATTTACTTCAAATGCTCGATTATCTTTATTATATTGAACAACACCTTGAAAATTACCAGATACTGTTTCAAAGAAATTATCAACATCATTTTGTGTTTCAATTGAATCACATAAACTTAAATTTATATTTAAAAGTCATATGATTAAAATATAAATTTAAATTTACCGAAAAGCTGTTTTTAATGTTACACGACCAGCAGATGATTGAACTAATTTTTGCATTACTTCTATTGCACCACTAATTGCTACATTACATTTTTCATCATAAGTTGCAAGAGAATTTCGTACAACAACCAAATATTCTAAATATAAAGATAAAAAAAAAAGACATTCATAATTTCATAATGAAACAAAATATCAACAACGAACCGCTAAAATCAGTAAGAGCAGTCATAGGACTACTAGCTGATATAGCACCATGAACAAGATGTGGATATTTTAAACGAAACCATGCTGATAATGAACCTTAAATAGGAAAAAAATAAAATAAAATAATTTATAAAAGAAAAATAAATTAAATCTTTAACCTGGATATGATCCACCAAATGAAATCCATTTCGTTTGGTCTGATATTTTATATTCACTATTAAAATATTCTCGAAATGTTGCTAAATCTGCAAGTGCTTGTTCACTAGTTAAATATCTTAAATTTTCTATACTAAGATCTCTAGGAAAAAGAAAAGAAAATAAAAGTCAATGATCTAATTAATTTTAATATAATATTATTTACTCTGTTGGATGACTTTTACCATAAAAACGATGTTCAAGCATAACACAAATTGCACCATGTGTTTGTGCATATTTAATCCATTGTCCTTCAGTCATCCAAATAGGATCAGCTGAACCTTCACCACCAATTTGAATAAAAACAGGACCATTCTCTTTCCAATGTTCACCATTAACAAAATATCTTTGTTGCCATATTCGTGTATCTGCTGGATTAAAATGATCAAGTTGTTGTGTATACCAGAATTCATCACTTGGTGATTTTTCTCGATAATATGATGATTCAAAACGTCTTTTCGGTGATCCAACCATACCACCACGAGGTCGACCACGATGAAAAAATGGAAGACCATCAATTAATAATGGTAATAAAATTATTCCAATGACGAACAATTGTATTCTATGCATGTTTGTCAAATGAAAACGAACACAAAAGAAAATCTTATCTAAATATATATATATATATATATATAATGACTAGATTATATTCTTTTGTTGATTTTAAAACAATGACAATGCTTAGATATTATTATTAAAAATGATAAAA